GAAATATGCTATGTATCACGAAAGGATATTTTTGGTTTGTTTGAAGAAAATCACTTCTTAAAAATGGGCAGACAAGGATACGTGACCTAAGAGTAGCTGTTTGGGTCACACGCCATTGCGTGAGCTGGAAGTTCAGCAGGAAGACAGACAGCTGCAAGAATACAGTCATGTGGGAAGCTGAGTCCACTAGGAAAATGCCCTCATGGATCACCCTCGGATGTTCCAGAATGAAAAAGAAACAAGTGTCAATAGGGGCATGAAATACATGGAAACTTTTATCCGTTTGAATATAGAAATATATATTAAATTATAATCCAAGAGACTTAACTAACTCTTCTCAAAATATCTGTATTACAAGAAAAGGGGAATTGTTAGGATCCTAAAAGTCTATCATTGGCAGTAAATGACATAAGTTATATGTGGAAGAACACTTTACTTTTATACAACAATTAAAATTTGATTAGAGGAAAAGTCAGATGTGTCAAATCGGATTTCCAAGAGGTTGGTCCACAAGGAGAAGCCCTTTACACTTGTGCCAGTTTAGAGTTCCTGTCAAAAAGCAGCCTGGCTCAGTTTTATTAATAACAACAAAGGGAGTTTTTCATCAGTTTGCCTGTGGAGTATAATTCCAATCACAAAAGATGTGGGCAACACTTCTGAGGGCTAGCTCCCAGTCTTATCTGTGTAAGTCCCTACCATAACAATAGCCAGACACAGCTGGGAACATCCTTGGGGGGAAGCAAAGCTTAGTTTATATTACTCTCTCCTTCTTCCAGAAATGTATTAACTATAACAACATTACCTAATGAGCATAATTGAATAGGAAAGGATAGTAAGTGCTATATAAAAATTATGTTGGTACACTCTTCCTAGACTTAAGCTTTCAATACTCCTGGTGCCAAATCTGTGACACTAGTTCCATACTGAGGGACTAAGACCTTATTCCAAAAGGGCAAATGTTACATTTAGCAAATAAAAATGCAAAAACCCTGATTAAGTTTGAATTTCTCACAAAAATTTTAAAAAAACTTAAAAAGTCAAGATGGAATGGCCCAATGTGTGTGTGTGTGTGTGTGTGTGTGTGTGTGTGTGTATGTGTGTGTGTGTGTGAGAGAGAGAGTCTGTTTGTCTGTCTGTGTGCATATATATATATATATATGTATATATATGTATATATATGTATATATATTAGATAGAGATAAAGATAATATAGATATATATAACATATATATATTTGTTAAGAAAGGGGGAAATGGAAATAAAATGAGAAGGAAGGGAGGAAGGAAGGAAGGAAGGAAGGAAGGAAGGAGGAAGGAAGGAAGGAAGGAAGGAAGGAAGGAAGGAAGGAAGGAAGGAAGGAAGGAGAGGATATATGAATACAACTGACCGGACCGGTAAGGGCATCAGTTTTTCTTTTAATACCACTGACAGCAAAGAGTGTCAGTTATTTTTGTAGTTAAGCACCCATGTTTCCCACTTGAAACCAACAGTATCCCAAGAGTGAAGTGAGAGTCAGTGCGCAGAGGCGAAGACGATGCACATATCAGTAAGAGAAGCCGTGACGATTGTATTCTAGCAACTTTTTAAGATATTAGTCAGAGGCACTGACAAGTCTGCTGAGAGAGGGACCAAAGATCGATCTATACAGCACTGTGGAATGCAGTCAAGATTTGTGTTGCAGGGACATTTTGTTGACATTAAGGTATATCTCTGTGATGTTCATGGCATCACAGAAAAAATAAGGAAACTGATTGCCTCTGAACAGACTTGAAAAAATACATTATGCATAGATGTCTTCAGTTTTCCAATTCCTGGACAATTTTTATAAAGAAATACAAATATAAACCAACCTGCTAATTACACTACTCTAAAATTCTTGAATTTCTATGTCCTTATTGTTATTAAACTTCAAAACAACATTCATGTACTATTTTATTTAATTTTAAGTATTTCTTTATTTGTCTATTTACTTATTAGGGTACAGCCCTAACTCTGGTCTTGTGCTTGCTAGGCAGGTGATACATCACCAGGCTATGTCTCCAGACCTTCACTATAAAATAGATATAGTAAGATTCCTTGTAATTCACCTCACCAAATTAAAATTTTAAGAAGAGAAATGATGACTGATTAAATTTACATAGTAAAGCATTAGTGTTAACTCTGAGGTGGTCTGGCATCCTGATGACTCTATCCTATTAGGCAATCAGCCAATCCTGAAAGTGAAGGGCATGTTCCTTACTGTTACAGTGGGAAAAAAAGTCTGCAGTAGCTTCCTTTGTTAGAAAAGCATCTTTTAGAAATTTACCTGAATTTGGGAGTGGAAAAAGTTTGAGTTTAGATACTCCTTATGTTTCTTTAAAATTACTGGAGTTGTTACTCTGAGAACAAAACTCAGTTTCAAAGGTCTGGAGTCAACCTCATGCCACAGGAGTTAACATCAGCCAGTGCTCCTAGAGTAAGTATTGCTGGATTGAAATGGACTTGCTATTGGGACTTTGCTGATTGCTCAAAAAGCATCTTATTAACATTTAATCTAAAAAAATGGGAAAAAAACCAATTGGAAATAGCTATATAACTAAGTTTGACCCATAGCAATACATTACTGCAGTGAGCAGGAGTCTGATAAATGCACTTGGGAGAAAACCTTGGTGAGAGGAACATACTCCCAGTCCTTTGGTTTCAATAAGAAGGGACAGGAAGGGGCAGGTTGCTGCAGATAGCATCTGTTTGTTCCCTCCACTTTCCTGCTGTGACAACAGCAAAAGCCATTTGAGGAAGGGTTTGTTCTGTCCCCTAGTTTGATGGTACAGGCCACCATGACAGGGTCTAGCGGTGGTGACAGGAAGAGAGGGTTGATCATATTGGGTCCACAGTCAAGAGAGAGGTGAATGTTGGGATTAGCTGACCTCCTCCTTTTTGTTCAGGCTGGGATCATAGTACATGCGATTGGATGGTGCTGTCCACATTTAGGGTCGAACTTCCCTCCTTTAAATTTCTCTGGAAACTCCCTCACAGATAGCTTAGAGGGCGTTTCTTCTAGGTAATTCTAACCCCATAGAGTTGTGAAAATTATCCATCACCACAACCCCCAGGTTAGGCCTGCTTCTCCTGGCCAGTTCACCCCAGAGCTACAATAGGGCTTTACCTCTTCCTCACACTTTGAACAAGCCCATGACAAGCATCCTTACGTTGCTAATGGAATGACCTCTGTTTAAGCCAAGTGAACATAAAGTTTTAACTAACCAAGTAACTAATGCAATATTTCATCGTTTCTTTCCTACTTCACTTGCTTTTATAAAGGGCTTTTTTCATTTCCCACTTCTGATAGAGATTTTTACCACCCTCTCATCATCTTTATGGTGATAGGCTCTGCAAAACGTGTTTGAAAATACTACTTAGAAAATATTCAGTCTTCTCTGTGGGTTGGGATGGCTATTTTAATTTTTCCTTTGTGTATTTTTCTCTCTTTTCTAAAAAACTTTGAGCTAGTTTAATAATTCTAAAAATAAACAATAATGCAGAAAAACAATGAAACCTTTCAATTGCTCCTACATATTAAAAATTCCTGGACAGAAATCCTGAAATATATTATTATAAGTGGGGTTTGCTTCAGCAAGAAAATTAAGACATTTGGTGGTGACCCTAAATTGATTGTGACTGCAGTAAAGTATACCTGTTACACACATGCATATTTCTGGTTATTGTGTAACTGTGCTGGGATAAATAGTAGTTTGCAAGAGGATTTTCAATTTCAGAACATTTCATCAAACAGCCAGTTCAGGGTCATGTTCTGTCAAGTTTATTTATTGTTAAATAATGTATCCCATATCACCCTACAAGAATAAATAAATGTAACACTTGGTAATATAAGTCATCATGCATGAGTGACCCTTGCAGATGCTATATCAACAGTCAGATTTCTTTTATTCATGCAAGAGTTTAATTGTAATTGTTGGCATTGATGTCTATTTTTTGCTTGAGGTTGGGTAAGTCTTTAGGCTGTAGTCATGTGAAGTTCTATGCGGGGGCGGGGGGATGAGAGAACTATCAGAAAAGTAACCTGGATTGCATTCCTTGTTCTGTCATTAGCAAGGTGTGTGACCCTGGACAGGCTGCTCACATGGTGTGAGTCTCTGGTTCTTCTGCAAGGTAGGATGGCTCACAGTCCTATCAGAGGCTCCCCTGACTTGGAGCCTAGCTGCAGCAGACAGTGATATCTAACTACTTCCTACCAGGACAGAGGCCTTTAACTGAACATAGGGGATAAGAGTTGAAACATCTTCAAGATAACCAAATATTCAGGAGAAAATTCAATGAAATAGAAGATATTTATTCCTCAGGAATTGGCATTCAACTCAGACTACCCTACCCACAGTTAATGTTAATGACTTTGAAATGAGCTAGTGTTTCATTGATCCACCTTTCAACATCTTAAAGTGGAATTCAAAGACCTGTTAGGCCTCTAACCTCACTGAACACTACCCTATGCTGATATCCGTAAGTCAATTAGGTAAATTTATTCTGTCCAGAATAAATGACTTTAAGTGCAAAACATTCCTTCCTACTTATTCTATAGGCAAGTATTTTCTTAGAAGTACAAGCTGTCTGAATTTAACCTTATTGTATGCCACGAAGATTCTTGGGAGTAGAATGGGAGACAACTGAAGAATGGTTCAAGAGGCTCTGCTATTCTTTACTCTAGGGTTACAAATTTGATGCTGCTAAGAAACTGTCCATCTATTTTGCCAAAATATCAAATAAGTTTTGTATATATGGTGTTGTTTGAACAGTTGCTCATTGCAGCAACTGAAGACCAAGCACCTCAAGAATTGAAGCAGGACATGGGCCTCCTTGTTGAGATACTGATTGCTTTTGTGCCTTCCTCCTCTCTTGTGACTTCGTTCTTTAAATATCCACAACAGTAAATATTCAGTTACCATTGACATGGAGGATATAAAGAAGTATACATAAAAGTACTTTTAGGATACCATAATCCTTACCTGTTTTTCTCATGAATCTTCAGAATTTCATTTGTCTGTTGGAGAAGTTGCTTCTCTAGTTTGTATGTTGATAATGAATTCTCCAGTAGTTGGATTTCAAGTCGCGATGTTTGATTTAGTACCTTGAAAGAGTTTTTAAAAATTAAATTTCAATCACAAAGAAAGTAGTAGGAAAAACAATAGACATTTTAAAGATCATTTTTTTCTTACTGTTTTTTAGAATGACTTAAGCAGGTGGTGTTCAATCTACCAAACAGTGCGCAATAAACTGAAATTGGAGTCCGAAGTGAATTAGATTCATTTGCATACTCTAATTTTGATACCCCATACATTCTAAGATATATTATGCTCATATATTTTATCTTCAAATTTTACAAGCACAAAACAGATTGCTAATCCAATGTTTTGATATTATAGACCATTTAGAATAATTAGGAGATGTATAGGATACACCTACTCAGACCTATTGCCTTATTCAATTGGAAATACAAACAACTCTTGAGATAGTCGGGAGTGATGTCTGACCACACATTTATTGGTTGGCTACTGTGGCATGGGGTTAACCAAAGAGAGCTTCCATATGTTATCTCAGTTCCTTGACAGTTTCATCTGGCGACCATGTCATTTTATGAATGAGAACACTGGAGTCCAGAGCCGTACACATTCACACAGGAACCAAGTCAAGACCTGAGTTTCTAACCAGAGACTTTGAGCCTACATGATAAAAAGAAATCTGAAAATATTTATTTTTTTCAATATCAGGATCAGATCTACAGTCCTGCTCTAACAGTGTCGGCGCAGGAGTGCTCCTCCCCCATTGGGCAGGGTTAAAGCTGGGATCTAGCTGAACCTTTAGAAGATGCACTGAAATGCTTGAGTTGAGCTATGGCGGCAGGAACTGCCATGGAATGGGGCTCTGTGTTTGTAATAATAAGACAGAAAAGGATCTTGGAGGCCAGTGCCTCAGATACAAAATCTTAAGAAGGGCTCTTTCCTTCCTTGTTTATCAAGCTAAAGTATATGATATTTCTTTGTATATATTATTTTTGAGTAGAACGTTTTTAAAATTCTAACATATTCTGTAAGCAGTAGATACGATTATTATTGACTTCAAATTCATATCTATGAAAACTTAATCTGTAAAAGAATAATAGCAAGTTATCTATTTTAAAGTATAAACGCCTCATCTTAGCATTTCCTCCTCCCTCCTCATCGCCTCATTCCTTTTTAGACTAGAAACAGGATAAAATGAGGAAAATAGCTTGGATTAGACCTTTTCAATGACTATATTTACTTTAAAATTACTTTTCTGCTACGTGGGGTTTTAAAAACTTTTTAAATAATGTATTTTTTTCCAGGCACATATGAATTCGGTGGTTGTAACAACACACCCACACCTGTAGAGCTCCAGACTAAGTCCCAGCACAGAGGCTGAAGTGTAGGTATGAAACTATGCACTAGCTATTGGCATTTGATGACTGTTGGGAGAGCAAATCTTGAAAGATGTGAGGCTCATCAGTGAACACACTCAAGGCAGGCCCTGCTCCCAAGAGTAGCTATGCAACGCAAAAGTGGTCTCAAGGTGAGAAAGGAAAACAAAACAGAAAGCTGGAGACAGTGAGGGGAAAATGGAAAGGGAACAGTGACTGAAGGGTGTACATGATCCAAGTATGCTGCATGAAATTCTCAGAGAATAAATACAAATATTGTTTTAAAAAGGTATTCCTTGTCACTTTATTTAAAGTTAGAAGTATTTCAAAAGCAAAAGTTCAAACCGAGGCTACATTCATCAATATTTTTACTTTTGTAAAAAATATTTTTTTATTCATTCTTCATATCAAGCACAGTGCCCCCTCTCTCCTCCACTTCTGTTCAACCCTCCCCCCCCCCCCATCCACTACTCCAAAAGGGTAAGGCCGCTTATAAGGAGTCAACCAAGCCTGGCACATTCAGTTGAGGCAGGACCAAGCATCACTACCCGCTCCTGCACGTCAAGACTGAGCAAGGCATCCCACCATGGGAAATGAGCTTCAAAAGGCCAACTGCTGCACTAGGAATAGCTCCTGGTCCCATTGCCATGGGTCCCACAAAGAGACCAGGCTTTGAAACTGTTGCCTGCATGCGGAGGGCCTGGATTGATCCCTTGCAGGATCTCCTTCTATGAGTCTAAAGTCTGTGAGTTTTCCCAAGTTAGGGGCAACTGTCATCATTTTCCCCCAGGCTAGTTTTTGGGGGTTTTTTGTTTACTGGATGACCATTTACAAATATTTGAAATAAGGAGTGAAACATTCAGGGTACTTTTGTGATCCAACTGTACCTGATATAGAGAAAAGACAGCCAATATTTGCTTATGAATAAAAAGCAGGTATGCCATCTCATGGGATTAAACCCATCATTCACAGGTACCTCAAGCTTACTTTGCTTTCATTTGCCTTACTTCCCGAGATCACATCCGTTTGTTAGCTTTTTGTCAACTTGACACAAACCTGGACATATTTGTGAAGAGTAACTCTTAATTGAAAGAATGTCTTAAGACTGAGGAGGACTGGATGGGGAGTGGGGTAGGATGGGAGGAGGGGAAGGAGAAGAAACTGTGATCGGTATGTAAAATAAATGGAGAAAATGTTAATTAAATAAAATAATTAATAAGAAGATTGACCTAGAGGGGAATCAATGAAGTAGTACCTGGACTAATGCACTGTCACCCCTCAGCAGGTGGCCTCAGATAGTCTAAGAAAGTTGGCTTAACCACCCATGTAGAACACACCTGGAAGCAGCGCTCCTCCCTGGCCTCTGCTTTGGTTCCTCCTCGGGGTTCGGCTTGAGCTCCTGCTCTGTCTTCCCGTCCCTATGACCTGAGAGTTTGCAGGATAAAACAGTCTCTTCCCCCAGTTGCCTTTGTCACATGGCTTCATCACAGCATTGGAAACCCTAACTAGGACACACTTCCCGATGCACTCAAAGACCAAATGTTTTGCTTATACGGAGTAATGCACATCGTGCTCTATGTTTCCTGGAAACGGGATGGAGTCGCCATCTGGAATTGACCATGAAATACCTGTATCTAACCCTCTTACAACCATGGCTGTTATTGATCTGCCCTTTCTTTGTCTCTAGTCTACACTGTCCCAGAGCAATGGGTCTTCTGTAAGAACAAGGGAGATTGCGGTGTTTTCTATGCTAGATGTGCTAATGGATTCTCTCCGCAGGTAGTTTCCCTCTCAAAGAGCTGTGTGTGGTCCACAGACTGCATGAGATCAGCACCCTGTTCACTGACTGCCTGTCACTCCTGCCACCAGCCCAGCTCATTATAATTATTTTCACCATCTTTTCTCCGCTCCATTTGCCAAATTCCCTTTCACTTCAGGGCATTTGTACCTGAACATCTCTCTGGCTGGAATCCCCATTCCCTCCCAGATGCAGAAGAAGCATTTTTCTATTCAAAACATGCTCAGGGGTATGTCTTGCCAAGACTAAGAAATTTCTACCCCCATGTTCTCCATCCTTTGTCTCCATCCTACGTTCCTTCTGCAATCTCCACTATTGAAGATAATCCTGTATTTTTTTTCTTTCACTCATGTGGTGATTTCCTACCATACTGTCATGTCAGTTACACAGGGCCTACATTGCTATGCCCAAAGTCCTCCAGCAAAAAGTCAAGAACACTGGGGTAACCAACTGTGTGTTGGAAGACATGCTGACAATGTACCAAGCAGGTTAGACAATAACCATGGAAGGCGACAGTCCCACATGAGTAGTTGCAGCCCAAACCTAAAGATTTATCTGACATGGAAGATGGGAGCTGACCAATCTCAGAGATCCAGGATAAGTGCTGGGCAACCGAGGCTACTTTTAAGCACAAATACCATGTTCTTCTCTTTTCCCATCATCTTGACTCCATTGCTGTTTTATTTCAAGTCACCCCACTGAAGTGTTCAAATAGACTTGAAGTTCAAATCTGGGCATCCAAGGGAATTGTAGGAAACTATGATAAATTGACCACTGCCTTGCATGTGTCTACAGAACTTGCTGCTGGCAATAATTGAAGTATTCCATTAAGATGACAAAAGACATGTTCTTCTTAGCTTAAACACATCCCAAAACCATATCACTGGAAAAAAAGTTTAAGAGGAATAAAAAAATGAAGACAGGAAAAAGTGAAGAATATATTCAGCAAGTCCCCAGGGACTGATGTCAGTGCTCAAGTTTCCCAGAGTATGCCATGGAGTAAAGACAGTGTATGCTCTGAAATGGAGGACTTGTGTACTAAAGGAGTTCCGATTTTTCTTAAAAGAATAATAGTTATTTATTTTCAAGAAAAAGTGAGCTAGGGAATTTAGATGGGCTCTTTTAATATTTTTAAGAGTAGTTAATTTAAAACCCACATTAACCAAAAGGTCGTTACTAAAAGAGAACACAGCAACCACGAAAGGAAATCTCTCTGTACACCTTGGCCTTGAAACAGTCTTCCCTGCTGGGCACATGTATGCAATTGACTTCATTTTTTTTCTTCAAATAAAGCAAAGGTAGCAACATACAATGTAATCAGATGTTATGGGAGTATGAAAGCTGGTCAGTATATAAAAGATGAGAGCTAGACATTCACTGTTTGGCATTATCAGTAAAATAAGTTTTTGGTCAATAAGGGGCAAAGTGATGAAGAACCACCCTGTGGGTTGCTTGGTTACTTCATAGAGGGAAAGTGAGCTTTGGAGATGGAGTGATGTGGCCGCTAATACTCTGACTGCATCCAAATCCCTGAGTGCATGATGGCAATCTGTCTTTTCACCTCCCAGTGAGATACCACACACAAAGTGATCAGCAGTTCCGTAAAGCAGCCCTACTGCTTAACTCTGCTCCAGGAACCCTTCGCACATAGCAACTTCCAGTTTAAAGGAACTGCAGTTATGGAAAAAATAAATCAAAAGCCATTGCAAATAAATACTTGGGCAATGCCAGAATACGAGAGGTTATCAAATGATTGTCCTAGTTTCTTAAAATATTATTCATTAGTGGAGTGGGTGGTAAGAAGTAAAAGGTAGACCTAAATTCATTGAGATCACTAAAGTTAGAAAACAAATTACCTGCAAAATTACTGTGGAAACTAAGGAACCTTGAAAAA